GAGAGAGAGAGAGAGATGAAAAAAATGTCATGGTTGTTTCTTTTGAGTTGTCTGTTCTATTCTTCTTGCAAGTATAGATCCAATGGCATTGAGAGAGGGATCCTTCTCAAAATAAATTCATATAAATTTGTGCAAAAACTTGAGCCTTAATCATGTATACAGGTCGTGGGCACTGTAGGCTATGCAGCACCAGAATACATTCATACAGGACGTCTTACTGCTAAAAGCGATGTATGGAGCTTTGGAGTTGTTCTATATGAGCTCATCACGGGGAGGAGGTCCATGGATAGGAATCGTCCAAAAAGCGAGCAAAAGCTTCTCGAGTGGGTGAAGCCATATTTATCGGACCCCAAAAAGTTTCATAATATTTTGGATCCAAGGCTTGATGGGCAATGTGATGTTAAGTCAGCCCAAAAGCTTACTGCCTTAGCGAGCAAATGCTTAATTCGAAACCCCAAGTCACGACCAAAGATGAGTGAAGTGGTCGAGATATTGGATCAAATTATAGAAATTGCAGAGGGGAGTGCTGATCAGGCTGTTTTTAAGGAGACCAGTAGTGCTGAAACTAATGTTGGTGAAGCAACTGATCAAGAGAGAGAAACTGGGAAGGGGAGGGTGACTGAGTTTATAGATGTGGTGAATGCTAGGATTAAACAAAGCAGGTTGTTAGATTGGAGGGGTTGGGGACCCGGTTTGGTGAGGACATGGTGATGTGTTATTTGAGGGAGGGAGGAGATTTTTTTTTTTATAATTTGGTCAATCAAAATTATCAATGCATCAAGATTGTGTTGTAGTCATGACTTCTTTATAATTTTGTGAATAATTTGTTTTTCTGGTTTGTTATCTACAAGTGCCGCATGAAAAACCATTACTCTTATTATAGTGCTTTTAAGATCTCAGGACTTTTAAGATTTTATGATTTTATTAGGATTATGCAAGTTTAAGCCTTGCAGAAGGGAAACATGGCAACGTCTGGGATCACGGTGGTAGCATCACGTGAGTTTCAGCTAACGGTCTAGGTTTTCATTCGACTGATGCATTAGAAAACCATGGACTATTTTTAAATGGGTAGCGGCTTGTGATCTCCACTAATCTACCAAAAAAAAAAAGAAAGTGTGGGAGCTCTATCAGTCAATATGAAGAAAAGGTTAAACGGCTGTAATTAGGCGTGTTTGAAAATCTTATATTTGGGAATATTATGGAGCCGTGTATTAATCCCCCATTGATCTACCCAATATATATATATATATATATATATATATATATATATATATAT